AAGACATTGCACCTACTCATGTGCACCTGGCAGATGGCAAAGGAAGAAAAAATCCTAACCTTTGGTAAACGGCTCGCCCACATTTAGTAGCTGCAGTCCAGTGAAACCAGGTTATTTTTAGAGTACATTTAAAAAACAGCAAATGCTGCACAGCGTGTTATTTGAAGCTTATTTCTTTGCATTTGTCTTTCCATGTATCAGTGAAAGGACAGCTGCTGAGCCTTTTGCTGCGGCAGAAATATGAAACTCACACTAGGATATTTAGTGAGGTTTAAACAGTGATTTCAATGCTGTAATCAGAAGAAACATCAGTGGTATAAATGTTTAGCAGACTAATACAATTAGCCTTGGTTAAAGTCAGTTTATGTGGTGAAAAAAGCTCAACATGCCACGTCATGTTTCAAATCATCGTGAACTTTGCAGAGTCGGTGAGGGTCGAGTGTTTGGGACGGTGCCATAACATTTCTAATAGAAAAGGCAGAGGGCACCTGACTTTAAACAGAAACCTATGGAATCGTGCTCATTTTCACTCATTCACTGTTGCTTATTATTTGTGATTTACAGTGCTGCATTATTTCTCTTTACATCTGTGTATGGCTCGGCACAAAGGGAGTAACATCGATTACTGACTCCAGACTTCATACAGCCTGTAACATCATGCTCCTCTATAACTCACTCCTGCTTCTGCCCCTGAAAAACATAAATTGGTGACAGTAACATAGATCGTATGTATGTCGCAGATTTCTTGGTGTTTTAAGACCAGGTGTGACATGCCTGACCTACAGCGATACACGGAAAACCAAGAAAACCCAACAGTCAGATGAGCAAACACTTTGGCAACAGTGGGAAGGAAGAACTCTCTTTTAACAGGAAGAAACTGGGACTGGTTGGGGATGGAAGACACGTTGTGCAAAACACATGTTGTGGAAGAGAGACAACTCCAAACTGGAATTTTTTTATAACCAGAGGAGTCGCCACTGGTGGCCATTGGAAAAGATAACAAAGTTGTTCCCCATGACCTCTGGAAAAAGGTTAGCCTTCCTCATATGTAGGACAGAGCAGGAAATCTCCAGCCTCAAATGTGTTGTGACGACTGGAAATACTCTGGTTTAGCAGAGAGAGATGGCAGGAATGAACCTGCAGAGGGCAGGACACATGACGCCTGATTGCTCACTGTGAATTCACAGGACTATCATTTGTTTTTTCTCATATGGGCTCAGTCAGACTTAACACAAACGTTTAAACTGTTGGAATGAAAGCTTTCATTTCAGATCTTTCAGATCTTTGTGATTTTAGATAAAGAACCATTCGATATTTTCTAGAAGAGTTCAAGGCTGCAGCATCTGTGTGGCTTTAAAGTGATTGGAATGAGCTTGATGCTTTTAAAGGAATGAAATGAAAGTGGCGCTCTGGCACTAAGGACGGGTTTTTGGTCCATGCCGCCCCCTTCTCACTCTCTGGCGTCTTTGCTCCAGCTCTGTCAGCCTGATAAAGACATCGAACCTCCCTAAAAAGCTTTTAAAACTGGTTTTGGCA